CCTACCGTTGTACACGCGGCACTTTCCTAGCTGTTTACACGGCCAGCGCCACTCACGGCCGCTGGAGGGGGTGGCTAACCCAACATGGCTGCCCCCATGCAGGGACTCGACTATCTACATCGTTAATTGATGAGCTGGCAAAACAACACGAAAACGCACACTAATAAACAGCAGACATCACAAATAATTATACAATTACAAACACGGGTCACCCACACTCTGGTTCCCAGGGAGCCACCCTGCTAGAAACCCGAGGGTCCGGTGCCACCGCTACACTCTGTTCTGCTATCTTCTCTCTCTCTCTCACAGGTCGAGACTCGGACTTGCCCTCGCAGTATCACGGATGCAACACCGGCCATTCCTTCCTTCATGCTGACTTACTCACATAGTTCTCACGCCGTGTGTATCCACCGTTCTCTCTCCCACGTCTCGCTCTGTTCCTCCTGTCTTGCTCTCCGCCATTCTTCGTCTCTGTCGATCGCTCTCCGTCGTTCTTCGTTTCTCCTACTCTTGCTCCTGTTCCCGTCTCTCTCTCTCTCTCTCTCTCTCTCGTCCGCTCTCCGTTTCTCTCTCTTCAGTTTTCTTGCCAGCGGTGTACCCAGCGACTCCCCATTTCACAATTACCCTAGAAACGCCCGACCTAAAACACGTTTACCATTCTTCCTATAACTTTGATTTAGCCGCTCAGGATGCACGACGCTCTGTCTACATAGACTTTCACTAAAACAACCATGAGTCTAGCCGCACTCCGTGTCTCTAACTAACTTATGTAACATTTGTAAAACATATGTTACACCCGCATGTAAATTACGCAGCTATAACTGCATGCGTGACGAAAGATAATAGTAGTGTTGTCACATAGGCCGCTCCTTATAACCTCATATAGATTAGTGTTCAAAGTCCAAGGCACTATATCGAAGTCGGAGAGAGTTAAATTTGATCAAATAGACAGATCAACACCATGCAGGGATCGCAAAAGAAGCATCCATGCATTTTGCTGTGAATCACGCGGATCTCGCGAGCTCACGTTAGACGGGCGCTGAGTATCGTGAGTCAAGCTTAGTTTCGCTGATAAGGTGCCGTGGCTGAATCCATAATATGGTTAAACCCCGTTCGGTCATTCCCATATGCTGCGGTGATTCCCCGTTCCGCGGCGATTCCGCGGCGATTCCCCGTTCTACTGCATGGTTATTCCCCTGCATATCTACGCCTCTTCTCTGTAGATGGCGACCTTGTCAGCGAAAATAAGCTTGCCGCAACTGACTCACGATACTCAGTAGAAGTCTAACCTGAGCTCGCTAGCGGTGGCGTGACGTCAGCAGGCATGATGCCGTATAACTAACTATAAGAGCAAGTCATGATGAACGCGGTTTAGAATCCAATAGTCTAACCTGGGTGGAACGAGAAGGCACACGTAACTGCGATAAAGTTAAATCCGAGGTGTTGATCTATCCATATGTCGGTAAGTCGTAGATTTATAGCACAGGTATTTCCTACCGCCCATAGCGTAATAGCAAGGGGGCTGGATGCAGTCTTTAATTTCTCTCGACGTGAACTGTGATATACTATCGGAGATCAGCATGTCTGGAATACAAAACCTGGAAAAAATGCGACTTGAGCTTCTGCACTACTGTCTTAGTTGATGTGCCCACAAGTGTGTTAAGTTCAAACCATCCAGAGTACGAGTCAACTGTGACAAGGTACATCATGCCATGCCACTCAACTAGATCCGTTCCAACTATGGCCCATGGTCTACTTGGCACTGGACATGGTTGTAGTGGTTCTCTCGACTGGTGCGATTTGTGCTATGGCATATGTTGCACTAGCCTATTATGTCATCTATGTCTCTTGCACGGCGCTTGGTGGCTTCTGTCCCCAAATGACTACTAGGTACTAAATTAGAGTATTCATGCTGCAGTGATTTTGGTACCACTATTTTCTGACCTTTTAGAATTACACTCTCGTCTGCGATCATTTCATCACGAAATGGGTAGAATGGTTTGAGTTCAAGTTTACTTTTCGACCAACCCATGACGATAGCTCTGTGAACTTCCTGAAGTGTGGCGTGGTATGACGTAGCTTCCTTTAGGTCCTCCAGCTTCTTCCTACTAATCGGTAACACGGACAGTATCTCATAGTTCGGTGTGTCCTCTAGATCTGTGTCACAGTCCAGTGGCGTAGCCAGGATCTTTTAACGGGGGGGGGCTAAAAACAGCAAATTGCGCAAAATAGTAAATGACTTAATATTTTAATGGTTCCTCCGCCTCTTTCTCCACACCCTACGCTCCCCCCACCTCTCAGCTCTGCAATCTTTGTTTTGGGCGCCATGCAAAAAAGCGACATTTTTGTTCGTTGTTCGCTGCTCCCAAGATATGTTTTGAACTGTTCAGTGGCGGATTCAGGATTCTAAGGAGGTGGGTGAAAAAACAGGCGGGGGTATGGGGGTCCTCCCCCAAATTTTTTTGAAAATGTAGATCGCAGGAGAAGGTATTTGAGGCACCTTTGAGTACATGTACAGCCTTCATTCTGACTACGACAATTCTCTTTCTTTCATTTTTTTCACTTTTGGATCAACAGGTGGAGCATGGCCCCCTTTGCCCCCCCCTAACTACGCCACTGTCAGAGTCCTTGATTGGCAAATATGCCCCCGACAATCAAATTGTGTGTTTGTGATTGCTCGGGCCACGCGTTAGCTTGCGGGGTTCTTTTCCAATGTGGTGTACGCTGTTCCCTGACAACATCAACATTAAGTTTATTTTGCATGAATTTAGCATCATGCTCTGACAGTTCGTGTATCTGACACGTATGTATGGCTTTGTCCAATGTGAGGTCACTTTCTCTTAACAGAATCTGGACACCGACAGATGTAATTCTTATGACTATATATTCTGTCCCTAATGAGCTGATCGGGCCATAATAAAAACATTGTTTGTTTACCCTCACCCGACCGACCCGCCAAAAAGGGGCTGACTCAAAAAAATTTATGATCTTTCCCATTTTTTTTTTGACAAATTGTATCACTGTACATTATAAAAATCTGTAGGCAATACATTATATGTACCAAGTAAAACAAACATTCAACATGAAAGGCATCTCCACACAAGCACACCTAAGCATGTAGACACCATGCTAAATTTGTGAAAAAAAAACCTCTCAAAAAAAGAAAAGCCTACCTACCTACCCAAACGTCAGCCTGGGTCGGGTGAGGGCAAACAAATATTTTTTTAATTGTGGCCTCACACAGTTGCCCATATTTACAGGTGCTTGCTTTATTGCGCAAATCTGCTGCAAACGTTTGTATTGTTTCACCTTGTTGTTGTACTCGGGAGTTATATTTAAACCTCTCCAATATCACATTACTCCTCGGGTTACAAATTTATCTGTATTTTTCGTTTCAGGAGGCACTCAGAATTTTCCCTTGATTTCGCCAGTATTACCGTTCACCGGCTCGATGATGGAACGTCAATTTACGATAGTATTCGCATTGTGAGCAACCATACTGGCGGTGAAGACGCAGTTCCTGCAAGAACCATGCATAACCAAGCATATAAGCTCGGATACAGCAGCTCGTGAACGGATAAACGCGTGGGCGTCAGTTATTTCACGCGGGCAAGATTAACAATGGCAGCAGTGAAGCTGGTTGCGGTGTGTGTATTGTGCTCAGCCTTATTGGTGGTTAGGACACAGTTCCTGCAAGAACCATGTGACACGGAGGCAGTTGAAGATACCAATGCTACTGTGCACTGCACGATTGACCTTAATTTCACTCTCGTGCCAGAATTTCCCATTTTACTTTATTGGTATCGTGACGGTTCCTACGTAAGTCCTACTAATGAAGATAGATATTCCTACATTGAGTCTGACGTCGACAACAGGTACGACACAGGAAACTTTAGCTTGCTAATATCTAACTTGAAAGTTGAGAAAGATGACGCAGAGTTCTATTGTGTGTGGCAGGAAGCCGAGGTCGCGCCGGGGATCGGCCCTTCATCTGACAAGGGTCATTTAACTGTGCTAGTGTCACCACAGTCGGTTGCCATGTTTCTTATGGACAGCTCTTCATCACCGGATGGAACGCTGCAGTTCTCGTGTGTGTCAGACAGCAGTAATCCAGCAGCTAGCATCACTTGGTCGCTGAATGGTGATGATATTACGGCCGACTCCCATCAAACAGAGGAAGCGGGTTTAAGAAACAAGACATTTACAGCAAAAAGTATCCTGAGTCACAGGTTTTCAACGGAAGACATTGACAAAGAACTTCGTTGTCATATCTTCATTCACCAACGTTTACCCGAAGAAGTGTTAACCGAGATTTTGTACATGGCAGACATCGTGACCATCAGCAGCAGTAACAACTCCAGTGATG